TATAATTCGAGGACTCTGCACACAACAAAGTTATGTATGAATATTTACTTCAAGCTTTATTTTTTTCCCAGGCACTTATAATCCATCCAGCAAAGACCTGGTTTTTTTGTTAATGCGAAGACAATACTCCTGTATTTCCTGTTGTGTTGCACTCACTGACAATCTAGCAGATTTTTCCAACTTTGCACAGAAATGATTGTATATAAGTGAAAAGGCTGTTTTATACTACTGGAATTAACATTTATCAAGTGTATGTATAATCTCCATCGAACATGTAAAGCATATCTTGCTACTGGCTGTAAATTGTGATTAAATTAAATGGTTCTATTTCTGTAACAATTTGATGATGCCTGTAAACTGGCGTCCCTCATGTACTGTACTATGAGAATAAATTTATTTATTTATTTATTTATTATTCGATATATGTATAAATACACTCATTGTCTGACCCATGTCGTATCATTATTGAATTAAACAGTAGTCCTCCAGGTTTCGCAGGAAAATCGACTTCATTTCGTCTTCAACCCGTAGTTGTAGGCATACGATAACCAACCAATACTGAGGTAAGTACAACGTTTACAAGGGATAGTAAGCTGTTTTAGAAAAGTAAAGATGCTAAGGTGAATCATTAGAGTGTAATGAAATAGGTAAATGCAATGTATCATTAATATATGCATTCATAAAGGAAATACAATGGGAGACTATAATCCCTAGGCTGACAAAGTTCCTTTGCAATGTATGATGCTACCTTATAGGTTTTACTATCATGTTGTCCACTTTTGGTTTAATGCAGTTATCCACAAGCCGGTTGTTTTAATTTCATACCTTTTTGTGTTTGGTGCACAACCGTATCCTATAGAGAATAGGAATAAAATAAGTCGAATCAAATTCATAAAGAGCTATAAAATGTTAGGTTTAGTGGAATATAATGAGCAAGTGAAGACGTTATTAGAAAATGTATGAGATGAGACATTGTTAAGTGATATTCGAAGAAATACTTCCCAGTTATAATGAGGAGTATCAATTGCTAAGTTAAACTAGTATCTGTACATGTATTCACCAAGATGACTGAAGGTGAGAAGTTATTTTTAATCGTTCATCTCTCTTATCCTGTTGTGTAGTCCTCCCCAAAGCCCTCGGTTGAATTACTATGGTTTCCACTAAGAGGATGGACAACAACCTATCAGAAAAATGTGGATAATAAAACCAATTAAAACAAATGACATCAACTCTAAATCTATCCCTAGGTGTAAGCAAATCTTAATCCTGACCCTGCATTACCCCTAACCTTAATCCTGTACCTAATCATATATCAGCTATGACAATGATGGGTGCCGTTAGCCAACGACTGGAGTGCGTTCAAGGTTATTGTAGCGTCCGTACTCCTGGGACGCTGTTGTTGAACTTCGCCGTGTAAAGTAGTTTGCAAGTTTCAATACAGAGCAATTCTGTTTGACAAAGAACAATCAGCGATTTAGTATTTTTAACAGATGACGAATATGAGGCGTCCACAGTTTAGTCATTCAAGTAACGGTCATCTGAAACTCGAGGTAGAATTCCTAATAAGGAGGTATCAGGGTGGCAATTAGACCTTCAAACCCACGTGGGGATAAACTGTGTAGTCCAGATGACCTTGAGCTGACCGTGGGTTCACTGAATTTGTCGGGAAATAGGATTTCAGCTGGATGAATGGCCCAAAGAAAAATTCGGCGACTTCAAAGCATTAGCAAATACATGATAGTACAAAAGGATGGGGTTGAGTGAATACTCTAAAGAGTAATGCAGATATTGATCACTTGGTCTGTATTAATCAGCTCTACATTTAAAGATCGATGAGGATGATGAGTGGCAACACCACTAAAATGGAAGGATAGGAACTAGTGTAACTATATAAACAAAGCCTGAAGGTTAGTGACGTACTGGTTGTGCTATCGACATGATGCCGTGGAAAGTTCACAAAGGCCACATGAGTTCCTTCATGTGGTTGTAGGAGATAAATTGTGCTCGAAGCACCATTGATAAGCATAATTGTGGCGCTGTGTCTTTCATCAAATAAAATTATACCCTGATTGCATTATCTACCACCACAACGCCCAAATTTTGTTTCTAAAGTTTGCGAATAATGCCAATGCCTTCAAACTATTGTTATTAAGGAAAGGAATCTCTCTTTTGATTATCATTAGGTTCTGGGCTCCACCCGTTTCTCACACTGTACTTACATTCCTATTTGGTGGGCCCTACAATTCCCGAGAAACTTCCATCTCCTGCTCGCAAGGTCTCCTCCAAGTTCGTAGTTTCCAATTCGGGTACTACTCAAACGCCTAGCGTTCGAAGTCACTCAGTAATCGTCTCCTAAGTGTGTGTCTGATCTATCTCCATTTCCCTTGGAACATGTATCGGACAGTAAACCGTTGGTTGGTACACTGCCATGGTGCCTTGTTGCTTGTCCTTCCTTATCAGGCATTCGATCCTCATTATGAGGAGAAGCAAGCTGTTAGTGAAAGTTTTCATTAACCATACAAAGGCACTGACTTGATACACATGTTGAAACCTCGATTCTTGTTCTTTATGGCATGTGCATGGGACCTCCAGGGTGACTTTAGAATGGTGAAGGTTTGCCTTGTGTTTGCAATCCTGCCTTTGACAACTTTAACTGTACGGCCTTTAGCTGAAACGATACTACCTAGTCAAAAAAGAGAGGTGACCTAAACTAAATTCTACTTATCGATAGAAACCAGTACAACTTTATTAACTTTTTTATTTACTGGCATCTATACTCTGTATTTTCTGCACAGATAGGGAATTCCTTGAAACTAATAGTGTACAGATGCAAACTTTCATAAATTCTAAAATTGATGTTTTCTGTCCTGAAGAATGGTTTGAGAAGGTTTTTCTTCTGCTAGTCGATCACATAGTATGTAGTGTCTGTCACTTTTACAGCTGTTTGATTGCATCAACATTTGTGTCTATGTTCAGTTGTCCCACGTAAACAACCTACGGCGCGCGCTGCATTTGAAACTGAGCTTAACACGTTTCACATTTTTAATAGACTTGTGAGTTTGGGTTTTAAGTAAGTTATAGGTGCCTTTCTTGGGTGTCAAATTAATTTATAATGTTTTATTACATTTATTTGAATCCTGCTTTCATTTTGTGAATGCTAAATCCCGAAAGTAATCGAGTATATGCTCCTGGGGTGTTTACTGCATACTACTGGTTTTTCGGATTATTCATAAATCCATAACAAGCAGTTGGACAATCGTTGGTTCGACCGTGCAGTAAGCAGCACACATAATATTTCGGTTTCACGACGGAGGATAAATGAGTGAGACAGGGAGTAAAATAAATAATGTCAGTAAAAATTCTGAGCACTGTAGATGAGGCCAAATAAATTATAATTATATCTCAATAGTTCACACACAATGATAAGTTTTTTGTTTTTGGTAATATTTCGAGATAATTTACTGCTTGTGATCACTTACTGTTGGAATTGTTTTTTTTAGGATTCACACTTGTTGATTTGTATTCATATATATATATATATATATATATATATATATATATATACATATACATATATATATTCTGTGTACCCAGAATCATATTCCAGGTTGTTGACATCGAGACAAGATTCCCAGCTGAGACTCTGTCCGCATATTAAGTCGCCGTCTATTTTTGGTGAGGACTGTTAGCTAAAGTAGGACTAGATGGGTTTGTCATAAGCATCAGTATTTAAAACATCCAACTGACCTTGTTGATATTTTTGGTCGGGATAAACCTGTTTAGATAATTGATTAAGTAAAAAATATCTCTGAAGTCAAAGTATCATAGCGGAAGTCAAGGTCTGTCAAAAACTGACCTTCAAAGACCGGTTGATATTCTTTAAAAAGCTCCACCTATGCAGTAGACCGGTTACAGTATCAGCATGCATGAAAAATTTCTTATTGAGTATTTATAAATTATATTTGGTAACTCTTAACAGACTACTTATCAAAAATCAGGTATTTTACGTCAGATGCTTCTGCATAGCAGTCATACTCACTGAAGCTGAAAAATATTAGAGAAACTTAATCCTTTAGACCTTGTTTTCCTTGTACTTCTGGCATATGACAGAACTAAAACGAGTACTGCAGGTTGAATCCGATGATTTTTAGGAAACACCAGTTGATTAGTCAGTAGACTTGCACATCACTTAATAATTTAGCAAATATGGGTGTGGATATTTACTCTTAAATAGTGAATATATTTTCAGGAAATAAGGTTATTTATGTGTCAAAGATAGTATGTGGTTTGGTTTTCATAGTAAACATATTTAGAGTATAAATTTAAAGAACCTGGTGACAATTCCAGGTCAGTGAAAATATTTTACATGTATTTTCACATGAGCTAGACTTTTAATATCACCACAAGTCTTTATTTAATTATACGTCCTATTCTGTGTCTTCCTGTCATTAATTTCAGTTATTCCACTGTGTTCGACTTTTTATGTTACTGTCAGACTAAGCAACTTCAAGTGATGTATTTCTCTGTAAGCTCCAAGGTCGTTGTATATTGATCCATCTACCCCGTATTTCACATACTAGATACACTAGTCCTATGAGCAAGTGTTTTTGTTGGGTAACTTTTGAACATTTGCATATTTTTCCCATAGCTGACTTAACGATTGAATCTTTACAAGGAGACAATCGTCGATTTAGCATGATTTAGCATGCAGGTGATATAGGCAGGTGATATAGTTGTTCTATGTGAAAACTGTCAAACACTAAATTTTTTGAATACCTTGAGTAGAAATTTTGGTATGTGGGACCTGCGATCTTTCTCTATCAAATGTAGGATGATGCTGCATAACTGAACTACATCAATTTTTAATTTATAGTTAGGGAGTAGGATGGCTGGTCGTGTTGACCAAGTCAATTATTTGGGGGAACTGTATCAGACCTTTTGGACGAAAACTCAGTATAGATACAGAAGTCTCTTGTGGCACTTGATAGCTAATATCATCTTCAACGTAGATATGATATCTAACTGTCGATCTAGGGACGCGTGTGCTACACAACAGCTCATTCGGTACTTATTTAAGGCTGAGACATGATCATCGAAAGTGGGGGACTGTGGTAAGTGGTGTAATATAATGAGCAATGTTGAAGTCAGTTGTATTGTTCGGTAAGGAGGGAAAAGTAATCAAAGAGTTTGGAAAGCGGCATTGATCGAAATATCTGGGGCACGTATCATGCAAGCCAAGGGGTCGAGCTTGGCTTTTATGAAGTGTGGTAACTTCAACTGCGAATTTCTACTTTGGAGAATTAGTTCACCTTGTAAAATTGTAATATTTTACTACCTTTTATGTATTCGCTCTAGTCTTTCAAAATTCGATAGCGAAATCGTGTTTGCTATGACACAAATGACCAGTATGTTTATATAAATGAACTTTTTCTTCTAAGTGAACTTATGTACCGCCTGTTCTTTTAAGGCTCTAATTTGTTTTTTATTAAGTGACTTAGTTAATATTGCTTCTAAAAGCTTTTAAACAATTTATCTTTGTTTAGCTAATCATTAAAAATGGCGACTATGGCTGAATTTATACAACAGTCTGAGATAAATGATGGAATACGTTTCTCTTGGAATGCATGGCCTATTTCTCGACTAGAATCTGCCCAGTCTGTAGTACCTATCGGATGTTTATACACATTACTCAAAGAACGTTATGATTTTCCACCGATTAATTATGAACCAGTATTCTGTACTCGATGTCGTGGGATTCTTAATCCATATTGTCCGGTAAGTTTGTTTCTTTTTAGGGTGGTTAGAAATATCAGTGTAGTAATTCACTAGGTTTCCTGGTATTATGCTTGTTTGCATACTCCACTGTTGACACAAAACTTGGTCTGTGTGCATCATCGTACAGATGGGCTCATATTTTGTGTAGAGACTTAGTTTTAGTGTTGGTTTTTGTACGAAGTAACTAACTCAAGATATGTTTTACACTATTCAGTGATAATTACGGTTGAACCATGTGGTACATACTCCATATTCTGAAATTTATCTCACGATATTGGTGTGTTTGTTGTTAAATTTGAGTATTTCTATTAGTGGAATTCAGTGTATGATTTAAGTTTCAAAAAACATAATTTTAGTTGTGTACTAGTTGAAATAAATTAGAGGAACTTCCTAAATGTTTTGTGCGTCGGTGATTCAACGATAGAATGCTGGTCGACCATGCACGTGGTCCGGGATTCGATTCCCTTCCGGCACACACCTTTACCTCCCCTAGTTGGTTGTATGTTCGACAAACGGAGAAGGTTGGGTGTAAGGTTAGCATTCCCCGACCCTTAAAAAACACCACTGCTTCTGAAACTTCAGAGCTAAAGTTTGAAACCTTGTGTCCCACTTGGAACGTAAAGGAATAAAATAAATAAAATAAAAATCTAAATGTGGTTCGCATCTTAAGAATCTCAGCAGCAAGGTGAGTTCACACATCTTGAAAACCCCTTTAGTTTCTAGTATTATGCAGATGATCAACACGGAATTCTCTGGACTTGATTGTTTACGCTTCAAAAACTCTTCATACAGCCGACTGGTGTAAATTGATCGTTTACGAGTTTCCAGTGAAGAAAAGAAAAACATTTTCGGTTTTTTTTCAAATTACAAAAAATAGGATATTTCTATTATACTTCAAAAAGTTCAAATAAATGGATTCAAAATTTATTTCATTTTAATTGCTATTAATTGTGGAATAACTAAGTATCGTTTGAGTTGTCTTTATATGCAGTCAAAATGAAAACAATCTCTCCATAAATTCAAAGTTTAACTGCAGTCTTCTTGACAGCAGGTGTACGCCACTATCAGATGGTCTTTTTAAGTGTCTCTGGCGATATTTAATTTGGAAACTAACATTTCTGTGCTGTTCCACTTCCGGTTTGGAATAATAGAAAGTTATGGTTGTTCGCATTTCACTGTTTGAAATATTTTTGTGCATAGTTCTTAAAGTATTAATTAAGACCTCAGAAGGTCCCTTTCGGTTATGTATTTTTTTTCCTTCACGTTCCCCAGTGGAACATAGGGCTTCAAGCTAGTGACCTGAAGTTTCTGCAGCAGTGTTTATTTTACAGGATGGGGTTGCTAGCCTCATGCCCAACCCTCCCTCTTCACCAGCATTATTTCTGGCTCAGCGAAGTAAAGGAGTGCGTGGGCCGGGGATCGAACCCCGGATCATGTGCATGGTCGACGAGCGTCCTAACCGCTATACCACCGACTTATTTTATTCCTTTGCATTCCGAGTGGAACATATGTCTTCAGGTTTTTGGAACTCCTTCAGAAGCAGTAGCTTTATTCTTGCAGGGTTCGGTTGCTAGTCTCACGCCCAACATTCCCTCTTTACCGGGCTTACTAACATATATGCTAGGGTTAGGAGTGCGTCGGCCCAGGATCGGAACCGGAAACTTATGCCTGGTTAGCGAGTATTCTACCGCTACACTACCGACGCAGCGTATCCTGTCACATGCTCTGATGGTGTTCCCTTGACTTTCGTTGCCAGATCTGCCAAGGGCTATAGGATAGTACGTGACCTAATGGTTGTGTGCAAGGTTTGAGGAAGTCGGTATGCTATATGCATGTGCCTCGTCCTGATAATGTTTTTGTGGGCGAAGTGGTCTAGTGGATAACGCTTTCGTGTTTGGAAATATGGGTACTTGGTTCGAGCCTCAGTGAGGAAAACACCACTGACTCACTGGGGAGTGCAGGTACTTCCAGATGACGAGTCCCAAATAGAAAGGAATGCGCGTCACGGATTCCAACGCTTTTATTTATTTATTTATTTAAACGCAGAAAAACTTGGTACAATATGGCACCAAGAAAGATGCGCCACACAATATTGTGTGAGGGCTGAGATACTGCCCGGGCGCCCAGACCGAAGCAGGTGGTTTTCTTAAGGGACCACCCCCGAGCCTTTGACTTGAAGTCTAATCCGCAAGGCAGAGGAGCAGCGTCAGGAGCTGCGTTCCCATGGTTGCCGGTGACCCATATGGGTTCATACGCCATTTGATCTGATTGAATTCTGGAGCCCATGTACCCCATGGCAACTGCTTTTAGTCTAACCGCTATCCAAACAACCTTCCTGACATGGTAGGACCTGCAGAGACATGAGTCCCAGCCAGTTTAGCTTGTTGGGTCACTGCGGCATTCAAGCCCGACCACCACGGCAAGGTAGCAGTTATCGGTCGGGATTCCAACGCTAGTCACCATTCGAGTTATGTGGGGTTTATGAAAAAGGTACAAGTAAGCTGGGAAAGCAGTATGATTACTTTGATATAATTATGGACAGTAAATTGTGATCAAAGCATTATTGAATGAATAATAGTGTCACTGTATGCTATGTGAAACAAACTTATGTAACATGGAATCAACACTCATCATATTTCCAAGTTCTCTCCTTTATGTAAAAGTTAGGACAGACAAATCGTTTTTTCCATTATTTTACTTAGACTTGTATGCGTCGGTGGTTCAGTGGTAGAATGTTCGCCAAACATGAATGTGGTCCAGGGTTCGATCCCAGGCCTACGCACTCCTAAACCTCGCTAGGCCGGTAGTAAGCCTGTTAAAGAGGGAGGGCTGGGCGTGAGACCAACAACCCCACCCCCGTAAGAACAAAGCTAATTATACTGGAACTTCAGAGCTCTAAAAGCTTGAAGCCCTATCTTCCACTCGAAACGCAAAGGAATTAATATGTAATATAGTAATACTTCATTTTAATTTTGGATTGCTTCAAATGTCATTGATTTCGTTCCCTGATTTATTCAATTAATCAATTTTATTTACCTAAAGTTTGATATCAGGAGTCGGACATGGACGTGTTGCCTATGCACAATGCGTAATAACTTCCCACCTCAATATGCTGGAATGACTGAACAGAAGTTACCTGCGGAATTGATGGCTCAGTTTACCACACTAGAATATACCATCCCGGTAAGTTACATATAATTCACTGGCTTATTTACTGATGCGTGTAGTGGTGTCGAAACATTCGGTAGAAGATGAATATGTGTTTAGTAAATCCCATGACGTAAAGGATGCCTTTACTACTCTTTTCTCATGAATTTCACTTAATTTGCTGAGTGAGACAGTCGTCAATACTTTTAAGATGATTTATGGAGAAAGTGTTGTTTTGCCCGGAATATATATATATATGTATAACTGGTTTCAACACAGAGCTTTGGACAGATGTGTATCAGTTCAACTTGTCACTCTCCCTCCATGTACTACATAAAGCAAGAGAAGAGAGTAAAGTGAGATTTAAAAGAAAGATAATAAACACAAGTGTGAGCGACAGAGAAAGAATTGTAATGTGCAAGAAGAACGATAGAGTTTTATTGGATATGAATATATCTGCGCCCTTCAGAACAGTTTTGAGCCATATCACCGATTGTCTTCAACCGTGATTAGTTCTTACCATCCTGAGGACCCCAACTAAGAAGTCTACACTTGCCGACGTGGCTTAAACTAACTACTATGGATTTCACTGACTGATATCAAGTTTTGGTTTGATATATAGTCTTTACATTAGCCTTTAGAATATATTTGACTGAAATTCAGTTATACAGGCTTTATAAGAAATTTAATCCGACGATTGTTATAAATCAATAAGCATAAATATATAATAAAGAAGGATTAAAATATCCGTTTAACATTCACTTGCTTTTCTCTTTTATGGATGAATTTCTTAATCGTTTGAGTCGATTAGTTTAAAAGAATACCGGAATGGTTATCCAACAAACCCGTTGTATTTCTATGTAGTTAACACCTTGTGTTGGGGCTAATAATGCAACTTGACTTTTCAAACCTCAATACGTGGAGGTTAGGCGTTGACTGTTAATTAGGTAAAGAAGGAGAGTCGATCTATGACATTATAAAGCTACATCGGTTGAGATGGTTAGGATATGTGTTACGCATGCATCTCCCTGGCCATCGATCGTCTTCGTTGACTGATAGTCAATGTTATCTGACATAGGATCGATGAGGTTGGAAAAGAGTTAGTGTGGGTGGTCAAACGGGAACATGGCTTCATCAATCAATGAAATCCACATACAGTTAGTTTAAGCCAGCTAGCCAGCCAGCCACGTAAGGAGGTGTAGACTACTTGGGTGAATGACTGGTTGTTGTCCTCGGGATAGTGAGAACCAACGAAGGCTGGAGACAATTGGTGATATGGCTCGAAGTCATCGTTGTCAATGGCTAGCGCATATGCATTCACTCATTGTGATGATTTGTCATATCTAGTAGATTTCTTTTGTTCTTATTGCATATTACTACTATTCTGTGTCCCTTGCTGACACTAGTGTATTATCTGTCTTTTGAATCTGTGTTTACTGTTTTCTGTGGTTTTGTGTGGTGCATGGAGAGACAGGGATAATGCCAGTTGAACTGGTGCACATCAGTGCAAAGTAGTTCTGTGTTCGAACCAATCAGTCGATAGGTGGATGAATGTTCTAACCCTTTTCGATTGATTGAAAGTCGGCGCCTTACCCAATGTGAACCACAACCTTAAGCCTACTTTGAAGTCAACGGACTTATTGTGTAACTAACTCACTTTTGAACTTAAGTATGAATAGAGTAATCAATTAAATGAGCATTCCCTTCTTCTTAAATGTAGTGTTGATTACTTGTTTGTTATTGCTGTTGTTGTTTACTTTTGTAGAAAGTTCAACCAGTCCCGCCAATATTTGTTTTTGTCGTGGACACGTGTATTGAAGAACCTGAATTCACTCAATTGAAGGTAAGTAAACAATTTAGACAGTTTCTTACTTACTAATCTCACTTCACTAATTAATTAATTAATGCCAGCCTTTATTTTATTTTTTAGCAAAATTGATTTTCTCAGTCTAAGATATACTGAATACGTCGAATGTGTTGTATGTCCACTTCAACGTTGATATTTTTAAGAATAATAATGCTTAGCTGTCTTAGGGTGCATTTTTCTACGTCACGGTGTTTGCCAAGTTGCCTGACACTGAAGTAATTAAGGTTCAAGAGATAACCTACTTCGTAAGTATATTCGAACTTGGCTTGCTGACCTTATATCAATTCGAGTCCAACAAATACTGGGCAGCTTATATATTATTGATTGAAATGGTTAGTTGGAAACCATTCAAGTTAGATAGATAGACAGTAGTGATTACTTTCCTTCACGTTCCCAATGGAATATAGGGCTTCAAGCTAAAGGCTTAAAGTTTCGGCAGCAGCGGTGTTTATTTTTTTATGGGATGGGGTTGCTAGCCTCATTCCCAACCTTCCCTCATTACCAGTCTTATTGTTGGCTTAGCGAGACATGGCCTGAACACCATAGGACACCATGTGACCCATTTGAGGTCGACCTCTTCAGGGGTGTACCTGGGAGAGATTGAGTTCAAATAGTCCAATCGATTCAAACTGCCCAATTGAACCACCTGATATTTTTGTTCAACTATCGTTTCATCATTAAGAAACAACAGAAGAATCATGAGAAGTAATAATCACATAAAGGTCTTGAATCAGGTTAGTTATGTAAGCTTGATGATGAATGTATAACAAATGAAGTTACGGGATTCATCGCGAGTTGATATCGGTTAGAGAACCATTGGGACAACCAGCTACAGTTGTTCCATCGTAGTGCTTGGGACTCTTCATCAGTACGCACCCACCGACCGATGTTCAAACCCAGGACCTTCCCGTTATGAGGCGATCTAGTAAATCATTAAACCACTGGGACTCGCCCAATGTTCATGAATTCCCACCACTGCCAATTCGTGATATATATATACTTAGCGCAACTGCCAGGCAGTAGTGTCACACGGGCGACAAATGACAAATGAAGTTTTTAACTATACAGTGCCGAATCGGAATAAGTGACTGTTTCTTTTCAGTTCATCCACTTTTCTTAATGTTCAAATTAGTGCAAGATGAGAAGCCATTCAATGGGAATGAATATCATCTAAGTATTCTGTTGTTCTTATAATGTCTGTCTTTCTTTCCTATTTATTGAAAGATCTAAGCGTTTCTATATTGTCTTCCATATATCTGCTGTTTTTCGCAACATTCTGTTAACTGTTTGACTGTGTATTACGTGAATGTTGAAAATATTATTGATTTCTGTTAAAATTCATTTATGGGATGATAATCCAGTGTTATGCAATAGGACTACTTACGACTACTTCCTTATTGCTTATAGCAGTTTTTTATTGTCGATAAAATTACAGCTTTCCTTCATGAGAAAAATCCCTAACCGAACATTAATAAAAATAAGACAAATAGTTCAGCAAAAAGGGGCTTTTTTCGGCGGATTCATTTTCCTCTCTAGCTACCTGTACAATCGCATTTATATACAATCATATTTCATGAAGGAGGGCGAGGGGTAATAGCAAAAGTGATGAGTAATCATAGTTGTTAATATTAGTCAATGTATAATAAGAGTTGAATAGGTGAATCAGGGTTACGAAATAAGATGAATAATGTAATGAATGATTTGTAATCAGGATGCATATAGAGACGAAGAAAAGTGTGGAATTACTTAAGAGCAGTAAAAAGAAATACTAGAGTTATAAGGAGTTAGAAAGATAAGCGAACAAAAATCAGGTCAGTAGAAATGAACAGGGTTGTTGCCATGATAGTAGACGTGGCTGAATCATTTTTCTTTATACGCAGAGCTCCTGTTTCTTTATCTGAATGACTAAAACCTCAGCAGTGCAAAGAAGGCGAAAGCTTATTGCCTTTGGTAAGTTATCCTTGACATTGTAGATTACTTTGAAGTAGACGTTTTTTGAGATGGAATGACCAGTATTGTTGATAAGATGTTCGATTATCGCACTCCTTACAGAGCCACTGCTACCTTTTTGTAGTCATGCGGTGGGATAGTGTTCTTGAACACTTTTGGAAAGGATAAGCCTCGAACGACCAAATATACCTTGGTGCCCAGCAACAGGTGAACTGATATATAGACACATAAAAGTAATCAGATGCGAGATCTTATCTTTTGGGCTTCTGCAGACTAATGGACGCCTGGAGAACACTACTCTTAGTGTTCTTCTTAAAAAAACCGAAATTTTCCTCTTAAGGGTTTCATTGAGTAGGTCATTTTTGAAGTCGAGGTTCATGTAAAGTTTCTTTTTTTGACACGCATCACGTCTTTGGAATTTCGGCTTGATGTTCTTATCAAAATTTTTTGGTGGATATCCGTTTTGAATGAAGATTTCTTTTAAAAAGTGTAATTCCTTCTCCAGAGCATCGGGGCTGCACATACTTCGGACGCCAGTAGCAAAAAGGCGTTAAGAAAAAGGAAACCACAAATTTCTATTATGCACTTATTGGCTATCATCATCAGTAGTGTGTAGGTGTAACTTTTAAGGAAATTAACATCGGATCGATATAATTCGAACCTGTGGCAATCAGTAACAAGTTCAGAGACTTTGGTATCCTCAGTTATTATGATCGTATCTGCTAAACCAGTCTGTGCTCGATAATAACTAATGTGTTTCTTTAGTCCCTTGTGTATTTATTGAGTGAGCGGATATGTAACTCATTAGCTTAAGCTTTCGATTTCCAACCCGTGGGTTTAGGTTTTAGATTTTACTCCACGAACTTTCAGCTTGTGCAACTGGCTAAGCTCATCAGACCCTGCACAATAAATGTAGCTCAGTGTCCGGTATGGAGTACATTGGGAGAACAGAAAGAAAGGCTTCTATCGAGTTTTCCAAGCATATCCCACGAAACCTATGTCTAAACGGAAGCAGATATTCGCAAAGTGCACTTACCAGACACACCTTGTAGATACAGGGGTCATTTCGTCGAGATTTCTAAATCCTTCAAAATATTAAACATACAAAGGACGGGAGATTTACTGCAACTTGCTGAAGCAGTCGCAATCAAGCGTTTCAAACCAAACTTTTGCATACGAAAAGAGACTGTAGTCAGTCTTTCATTTCCTTGGTAACTAACTGTATTTTGATTACACTAATTAGTCAATCACATTAGTGATTTCAGCTTGCTTAGCAATTTTTCAAGCTTATGGAATATAACGTTCTTGTGAACTTAAAGGCTAACACTGTTTATTAAGTTTTTCTGTTTTCAGTTTTCTCCTCCCTTCCCTCTCTTTTGCTCTTCTGAGTGCATATAAATTGATGGTAACTTAAACTAAAGCTAACTGAAATATGTCTCTAACATTATATATATCCATTGTAATTTCAGGTAGTCTACAGCAGCTGATGAGTAGCTGTCAAATAGAATGATGATATCATTATATACTACAAATCCGGTCTTTCTTTATTTCTTTCTTCCTTTATTGCAATTTATTCAGGGAACTAAGCGTATAAAACTAACTGTATTATTATTATTATTATAATTGAAATCTTTCAATGAAGTATTTACCCTGATTGACTTCGTTTATTTCCAATTTTTATCAGGAATCTATCCAGCTGTCATTGAGTTTTCTACCGCCTCAAGCATTAGTCGGTTTGATCACTTTTGGGAAAATGGTACATGTTCATGAATTAGAAGCAGGACCAATTGCTAAATCATGGGTATTTAAAGGTACAAAAGATTACACAGGAAATCAAATTCAAGTAAGATAAAACAAATCGTATTTAGAAATTTTCTTTCGAATATGTATCTGCTTTGCATGCCGTGTTATTGTTGTTTACTTTATGGATTTATCACGCCATCTCTGATGTAGACGTGATATGTGGCCAGCTATCAATCAAAGGAGGTATGTACTGCGCAACAGCACTTCGGTACACCCTTCTTTATGCCTGGCTGCGAGCGAGACATGGTCATTGAAAGTGGAAGACATGAAAGGGCCTGGCTAGCTAGTTAGCTGTCTTTGGTCATAGATGTGTAAACAGGATGACTAATATTGAGGTTAGGCGTCGAGTTTTATCCGAAGCGATATCGGTTGAGATGGTTAGGACATGTATTACGCATACATCCCCCTGTCCATCGATCGACAGTGAATGTCGGCTGACATAGGATCGATAAGGCTGAGAAAGAGTTAGCGTGGATAGTCGAACGGAAGCATGTTTTCTTGAGTTAATGAAATCCATAGCAGTTGAAGCCATCGAGTCACGTGGGAAGGTGTAGACTACTAGTCTGGCTGGTTGAGGTCCTCGGGATGGTAAGAACCAGTGAAGGTTGTAGATAATTGGTGATATGGCTAAAAATCATCGTTCCCAGTGATGGCTGGCTCAGATGCATTCACTCATTGTGATGATTTGTCATATCTAGTAGATTTCTATTATTCTTCTTGCATATTACTACTGCTAACTGAGCACTATGTTAGGTGGTGGTTTGCCATCACGGTGCACACTTTGAATTGTTGTTAATACATGGTTAGAGTCAATCGGCCACAGGAAGCCTAGCTTGACGTAGGCCTCATGCTTATTGGCAATTGTCAGGATAGTGTGTAGCTGCAATCTTGAAGGAGCTCACATCCTTCCTCAGATTCGAACTTGCGTCACCTATTACTGCAGTCAGAGATGTCACTACTGAGCTATTCGTGCTTGTAATTGACTTCCTGTAGGATTGTAATGAGTACACTTTGATTGATCACTAGTTAGTAACTAGTGTCATACGTTTAATTCTTTGTTTGGTGAGGAGTGAACTCTGTCAGTCAGTTATAGGCGACGCATTGATTCAATCATCTAAGTAGTTAACTTTGATGGGCGATTCGAACTCTATCTTACTTCTCAAGATTTGAACAACCAATTAACATCAGATCAATTTTTATTTACTAGACTTATAGATACAAATGGGTTGGAGGGCTCTAAACTGTACTATCTGCGTAGTAGAGATTACGGACACAAATTCTTAGATTATGCAATGCTGAAGATAATGCATAATATTTTGATTTCTGTCATTCTGAAGTACCCTATAGATAATCTGTCTAAATATTCATTTGTTGTCTACACAAGCTGTATAGTGTGAAAATTTTTTCCTCACTTCTCTAGGTAATGCTTGGCGTTGGTCGTAGTTCTTTTGGTAATGTTGGTCAACCGGCTACATTCAATGCTCGTCCTAGTCCAGGTGTTAAAGGTGTCTACGGTGCTGAACAACAATTTCAACAGCAACCACCTCAAGCACAACCACAGATGGCTCAGTTACCATACAATAGGTAGTTTTATATTTTGTTTTCCCTTTCCCCCCAATATTATACATCTCTACTCATCACAGAACTTTTCCTACTTCCTCCAAGGTGATGAGATCGGTTATAGAATCACCGGACGCCTGTTTCGTCCTAGCTCGAGACTCTTCATTCCACAGACGCCCAAGTAAAAATGTGCCAGAAGAAAATAAGCAACTGGCGTAGTGTTCAGTGACAATGCAAAACTCATACCAGAATGTAGTTTATCACTGAAAATCCCAATCCTATTCAGCAATAGATTTGCTTGTCACTTAGTGTATAAAGTAGTATTGAGTTGTCAACAGAAACAAGTAGAAAAGAAACAGAGTTATATTTTCTTCAAGTTACTATAACAGTTCACTTTGTTTAAAAAAATATTCAAACAGGGGTGATTGTGAACTTCTTAATGTCATGGTAACTTGCTATATTCTATTTCGTTTAAATTAAGGGTATTTTAAACACTTTAATTCATCATGTATATATCTCTGGCTTTATGTTTAGTAAAATTATAAATGAGATCAGTGATAGCCATTTCTTGAAGACATATTGCACATGATCTTAGCTCAGGGAGCCGAGAAGCGATTCCACAGATGCTTATTGTCACACAAACTCGAAGACTTACAGGCAAAAACTAACAAACTGGCTGAAGAAACAGGCGGTGAAAACAAAAGTTCAGGTGAATGTAGAGAAAATGGAGGTGATAAAGATAGTCGCGCACTAACACTAATCACCATCATTGGGATAAATTCGATCTAGGTAAATTATTTCCTTCGTAAGGACAGAAGACAAGGGCAGGCAACAGATCGTTTATTGAAAAAATCAACAGATATTTATAGATTTTTATGTACATTATTATTCATTATTGTTAGCAGAGAAGCAACGTCTTCTGATTGGTTGTTTTCCTGCTGAAGGTTATTCTGTCATCTCTTTGTTGCCGTTTCTTAGACAGTCCGGTGATATATCTGCAAATCGTATCCGCCCACGCTAAGTCTGCTGTGATTGGTTGTTGAGTTCCTCAAGGTTAAGCTTTGTTCTTGTTTTTTCTCATGACCAAGATTTGGGACGTAAACACTGACGTAGATTGCTGTCTACCACACCTTCACTTATTTAGGAAACGTTGTTTCTACCACAGGTGACAGCACGAATGAAGATGTCAAAGCCAGTCGGGATTAGAAAGGCAAGGTATACCTTCATTGATCTGAAATCAGTTCGGGAACCTACTGCATTCAGCATTAAGAAAAAAAGGTTCGGATTTTCAACACCAACGCTAAGTCAGTTTTTCTATACACGTCAGAGTAACTTGGTCAGCGCGTCACGTTAAGCATTTGCAACAAGCCACGACAGACTTTTATCAGCAGCTGCTATCTCTCCATACTGAAGATCAAATGTCAGTCGAAAAGAATTAGCAACAAGAAACTATGGAAACAAACTAACCAAGAACCTATTGCTCAACAAATATGTAGGATAAAATGGAGATGGACCGAGCATACATTGAGGAGGCCATCAAATGACAGCGCACGCCAGGCTATCGCAAGAGTGGAATCCCATGGGAAGCGACGAGTGGGGCGCTGGCCCGAGGGTGACATAGAGGAGATGAGAGACTATGGGTAATCGAAGGGCCAGCTAAAGATGAAATCAGAAAATAGGAGAAAGTGGAGATGTGTTGTTCAACCGCCATGTTCCATTCAGAACCCAAAGGAACAATAGTAATAATATTTTTTAAGGAAGTTTTATTCGAGAAGCGATCTAACCTAGAAAATCAGCAAAGCATATCGAACTTCTAACACCTGTGTTTATCCTAGTTAAGAAATCCTCATTTAAAAGCATTTATAAAGACTCAGTCTTCAAACATTGGGTGTAGCCCATTGCCTGTCAGCTGCATATAAATGCAGCATTGTTGTGTAGTAACACTCTCTCGTATACAGGTTCGTGTCTTATGCTACTCTAGCGTAAATTGTAATAATAGACAGTATGCAGAAAAGTATGAGCTCGAACTCTAAACCGAAACCCGAAATAGTTAAAAAGAAACCAGTTTTTATCTGTCTAGCCCACAAAGTGGAAGAAGTATCCCCAATAACCGAGAAAAGAATTAAAGGTGCATTGAAAAGAACATTTCACGCCACCAGACTCATTCCACTTTACAACACAGTATGCTCGTTAACCCAGTCAAAAGTATTTGAGTATCCTGCATTTACCAATTCGCCTACATTTGCGGCAGAAATGACGTATGAAGGACTCAAAGGAGAGCGTCTACTAGATTCGCCGAGTGCATCCTTAAAAGTCGTCGTATGAAAGGCGGCAAAGTGTTCTCGAGTGCAATTGTCAGACACCTGACACCGAACACACACACTGTAAATAAGTCAGACTTTCAAAACAATCAATACACAAAAGAAACCATGATTACTTAGAATCGCAGAAGCCATTTCTATCAAAAGACTTTGACCCAATCTATGCATACAGAAAGGTAGAATGACTAATCTGTCTCGCTGCCTTGGTAACCGTAATTTTTTTCTTTTGTTGCATAAAATTCCGCCTAATTTTGATTTTGGTTTCCACTTACTGAGTTAAACTCACTATTAAGTTTCCAAATCTGCTAAATTATTTTGTCTATCTTATAAGGCGAAAGAGATGGAAAAAGCATCGGCGATAGGCAACACCAGACAACTATTCAGGCTTATCAGGGAAACAGGTGGTAAAAGGCAAATGATAAGCGAAACAATCTCCGAGAAAAATGGCACCATAATTAGCTCCCAGGATAGACGTCTGGAGCGCTGGAAAGAACACTATGAGGAGCAGTTTAATTGGCCCACAGCCACACTTAACCTACCGGACATCCAACACCTCCCTGAATGGGAGATAGACACAGGTCCTCCGTCCTTAACTGAGGTTACTAAAGCTGTCACCAATCTGAAGCTAGGCAAAGCAGCGGGACCTGATTTATTGACTCCAGAGGTATTTAAGTACGGAGGCGACAGTTTACTGTCTGCGTTAACGGAGGTTCTAGGCAGCGTCTGGGAATCAGAGGAAGTCCCATCGGGTTGGTGTAAGTCACTGATCATCCCGATATGCAAGAAGGGGGACAAGTCGTCTTGTGATAATCACAGAGGGATTAGCTTGACTAATATAGTATCTAAAATCCTAGGCTCAATAATACTGCGTAGATTAAGCGGTGCTCGGGAGACACAAACACGAGAAAACCAGGCAGGTTTTAGGCCAGGTAGAGGGTGTATTGATCACATCTTCACCCTTCGACAGATTCTAGAACATAGGCATTCCTACCGGCGTCCGACAATCATTATATTTCTTGACCTAAAGGCGGCATTCGATTCTGTCGACCGGGAGGTTCTCTGGCGATGCTTGGCTGTAAAGGGAATGCCAAGAAAATACATTGCACTGATTAAGGCACTCTACTCGTACTCATGCAGCCAGGTGAGGGCTTATGGCGAGTTGTCATCTGAAGTGGTGACGACTAGTGGCGTCCGTCAAGGATGCCCATTATCCCCATTCCTATTCAATTTCATCATAGATGTACTAATGGACTTAACCCTAACTCACTTCAGCGACTCAGGGATTGACTTGCTACCAGGAAATAATCTCGTTGACTTAGAATATGCGGACGATATAGTCCTTCTAGGCGAGGACTCTGACAAAATGCAGAGTCTACTGAACACCCTGAGCAACAATCTCCGCATGTTTGGCATGCGATTCGCCCCTATAAAATGTAAGATGATGCTGCAGGATTGGACTTCATCGACCCCTAGATTAGAAATAGGAAGTGAAGTGGTAGAACACGTTGACCGCTTCAATTACTTGGGAAGTACCATCAGCCCCAACGGGTTGATCTCCGACGAAATTTCAGCACGAATACAGAGGGCTAGGTTCGCATTCGCCAGTTTTCGCCGTCTCTGGCGTAGACGCGATATCCGACTATCGACCAAAGGGCGTGTGTACTGCTCAACAGTCCGCTCCGTCCTCCTTTATGGCTGTGAGACCTGGCCATTGAGAGCAGAAGACATGAAAAGATTAGCTGTCTTCGATCATAGGTGTCTGCGTTCTATCTCCCGCGTGAAGTGGTATAATAAGGTGAGCAATATTGAGGTTAGGCGTCGAGTGCTAGGTAAGGCGGGGAAATCAATCGACGAGACTGTGAAATTACTTCGACTGAGATGGTTAGGACATGTGCTACGTATGCCTAGTCATCGCCTTCCTCGACGGGCAATGTTAGCTGATATAGGGTCAGGCTGGAAAAGAGCTAGCGGCGGTCAAACCAAAACATGGCACCAATCAATGAAATCCACAACAGTTAATCTAAGTCACGTAGGAAGATGTAGACTTCCTGGTTGGGGCCCTCGGGATGGTAAAAACCAATGGTTGGAAACAATTGGTGACATGGCTCAAAATCGTTCTCAGTGGCGCAGATGCATCCACTCCTTGTGATTTATGATTTCCAATTAAACTGTTTTGTTCTCCGTTATTACTATTCCTTTGTCTCACACCCCTGTTTACTGTCTATATTATGCATTTCTTCTACTTTCTTCTCTTGCTTTGCGTGCTACATAGATTGTGGCGACTTGAACTGCCGCACATATGTGCAAAGTTCTATGTCGAAAACAGACAGACAGACAGACAGATAATTTTACTTTACTATTAACCCCCACCCTCCTGAACTCAACATCATGATATGGATAAATCCACTCTGTTGTTCTGTCTTGTATTTTGTGCCTAGTTCATCCTTGTTTCCAAGCGAAATCAGAACTCTGCCCCATTTGTGTAATTATTTTATGAACAGTTACTCTTTTAACGCTGAATAATTCGTCTACTTACATCGTTTTGGGAAGAATATTGCCTATACTTTCTATCTATGACTCAAAGTCATTGTAAAAAGTATGTTTGCACACCATGTTGTAACTTATACTTTGATTTTGTTTAGGATGTACGCATTTAATTACCTCGTGTTATCCTGCAAATATGGTTGTTCCTTCTTTATTCAAACTCTGTTATCAAGCGTTGACTTTAAAGTTTTGCGTAGGTTTTGTACTGATTTTTCCATATTCTGCTAAATTGGATTCCTTCCTTTCAAATTTGTATTTACAGTTTTTCTAATTTGTGTATATTTATATTCAAGTATTGGTTTTCAAGGATTTGATTCGATTGATTACATGACTTCGTCATGAGCTGACATCGGTTAGAGTACCACTGAAAAACCTGGGAGTACTGGACAGCTGTTTCATCTTAGTGCTTGAGACTCTAAAGCAATACTTACCTACCGATGGGGTTGGAACCCGGGACCTCCTGGTTACGATGCGAGCTCGTAGGCCATTAAGCCACTGGGACCCGACCCAATGGTCCATGAAATTTAACTTCTGCTTAATGATCTACGACCTGGCCTTGTAACCGGAAAGCCCTGAGTCCGAACATCGATCAGTGGGGGTGCGTGCTTCTTAAGAGTGCCCAGGCGCTAGGACGAATGTTACTTTAACCGATGTTAGCTCGTAATGAAATCATGTAACTTCTGTTTATTATATTGTTTATATTTGTTATTACGATGAATATTTTCAGATTTATTCAACCTATGGAAAGATGTGATGCTGTGTTAACTGATCTACTGACTGAACTACAACCTGATCCATGGCCTGTACCACAAGGTAAACGTCCACTTCGTTCAGTTGGTACTGCATTAAGTATTGTCATTGGTCTACTGGAAGCCACCTATCCAAATACAGGAGCTAGAGTTATGCTATTTCTTGGTGGTCCATGTACTCAAGGTCCAGGTATGGTTGTAGATGATGATTTGAAGAATATTATACGCTCTCATCATGATATGGAAAAAGATAATTGTAAATATATGCGAAGAGCTATGAAAGTAAGTTTAATTTTTATTAGTCTTGTTATAACAGGTTATCTGACAACAAATATGTTCTGAAATAAAAGAGAAGATTTGTAGCTCAGGTGTTGTCCAGAAGGACGACGAAAGCTCCGCAACTAAACCAAGTAGCTCAGAGAACACTATTAATTACAAATATATTCTACCCTACAAATTATATACTCGGTATAATATGTATCTCTTTTTTGTTTTATCGTATGTTACTCAAAGACTTACACTACTGTGAATTCAGGATTCATTGATAAAGCGTTATACGACACTGACTGACTAACTGACTGGCTTCAACATAGAACTTTGCACCGATGTGCATCAGTTCAAGTCGCCACACTCCATGTAGCACACAAAGCAAGAGAAACGCAAAACAGAGACATTAAACAGAGATATGAGACAAAAAGAATAGTAATATCGAAGATAAATATAGTTCATAAGAAGTGGATGCATCTGCGCCATTCATTGGGAACGAGGATTTTGAGCCATATCACCAATTGTCTCCAGCCTTTATTGGTTTTTACCGTCCCGTGGACAACAACCAGACAGAAGTCATACCTTCCTACGTGACTGGCGTAAACTAACTGTTGTGCATTTCATTGACTGATGAAATAATGTTGGTTTTAGTTTGACCACCACTGGCTCTTTCCCAACCTGACCTATATCGTCAGCTAATATTGGCCGTCGAGGAAGGCGATGGCTAGGATGTATGCGTAACACATGTCCTAACCATCTCAATCGATATACCTTCACAGCCTCGTTGATTGATTTCCGCTCCTTACCTAGTACTCGACCGATGCCTAACTTCAATATTGCTCATCCTATTATACCACTTCACACGGGAGATAGAACTCAGGCACCTATGCTCAAACACACCTGGCTGGTTTTTTCATGTCTTCCACTTTCAATGGTCAGGTCTGACAGTCTTAAAGGAGGGTGGAGCGGACTGCTGCAGAGCAGTACACACACCCTTTGGTCGACAGCTGGATATCACGTAATATGATACACCTGGATAGAGTGTTATCTAACAGATTATACGATGCTGCGTCAAATTTTCTTACATGTCTTCGTTAGCTAATCTGTAGGTGTTGCAACGGAGTCGTTTGTGTTTTGTTTATTTGTCATCTAACTTGGCTAGACTGAACCCCCAATCACGACGTTGTAGCTAACTGATCACTTGGAGAATATTCTCTCCGCCCCCCACACACATTGAGGTTGACATACCGAAGTCAGGTTTAACTGTGACCACAATAACTTTACACATCAACAGAAATTGAAACCATAGATAAATAATCAGTATCCTATTGATTGCATCAATCATGATTTAATGGCTAACAATAATACTTAATCCGTCTCAACAGTAGAAATTCGATTTGTTTCAAGTTCTGTCACAGATTGATATCAGTTAGAGAACCATCTAAAACCTGGGAGTACTGGATGGCTGGCTGTTTCTTACCCTAGTCGGGGATTTTATGGCTGTGTGCACCCACTGAGGTTCGAACCCAGGACCTTCTGGTTGCAAGTTAAGTTAGCTGGTAGACTATTCAGCCACTGGGAGGGACGTAACTCAATGGCCAGCCCATGAATAAAGTCTAACTTCTACCAATTCGTGATTTCAGCGCGACTGGCGCCAGCCACTGCCATCAACGCTGTTTGTCCTCACTCCCGACCTGGTGGTGGGGACATTCACTGGTCAAGTGTTCTCAATAGAAAGAGCTCGAGGCACTTTCCTCTTGCATAGAGCCGGTCACTCCATAGAGAGTACCAGATTAATTTTGATTGATATCATCACTCTATCAGATGACAAATGAGTAGGTTAGTATTGGTATTAATATTATGGTAGATATTTTGTTGACTTTGCTTTGCAGTGCTGTCTTACGAGTTTAAGTTCCCTAACAGTAGATTAACTTCATTTGCGTCTGTCTGTGATGACTAGATGAGGAATGATGTATTCTCATTTCTCACCTTAAGGAATTTTCTAGGTAGGTGGTCATGTATCCGAGTTTATTAATTATCACTTTAAATGGTTGGTGTCGATTCCTCCTTCAGATAAGAATGATGTTAATACAAACAGATTCATATCATCACTTAGTTCACCACTTAGTAAATAGTGTTTAACACCTCCGATAGATTTAAACAATTCAATGTTAGATTTCCCCTTCAATTGGTTGGACCGAAGTGCTCGGTCTCAGATTGACATGTCGGCTTCTTGTGCAGATGCTTCGACGATGTCTTGGCATGTAATCAGAAGTTAATTGGTGGATGGTGACTAACAGTAGAATCCAGGATGCTCATTTCGTCCTATCTGAAACTCGTCAGCTGGATGTACTTGTATTCCGCTGGCATATCAACCTGAGACCGAGCACTTCGATCCAATCAATCGATGGGGAAATCTAAAATTGAATTAAATAATTCATATGACCCGTTACATAAAAGTTGGCTCTTGTGGCCCAGATGGTCTAGCGGATAGCGCTTTGGCGTCTGAAACTATGGGCACTGGGTTTGAGCCTCGGTGGGAACATTATGATTCAGTGCGGAATGCAGATACATCCAGATGACGAGTCCCAAATAGGACGAAACGCGCATCCTGGATTCCACCGCCAGTCGCTATCCACCAATTAACCTTCCATAGATGTTACATTGTATTTCTCTCCTTCTGGTTTTTTCTTCATGAAGGTGTATATTTACAGTTAACCTAGAAAAAGCCAATAAAATGAGTAGTGTTCAGTTATTTCAAATCAGGAGTTGTTTCTATTACAACACCTCAACTGCCTGCTGAAAACTTGGGCTACTGAAAACTTCCATCAATATATATTGCGTATAATTTCCTTTAGGCCTTCGACAGCGTCGATCGAGAGGTGCTTTGGCAACTACTTCGCTACTATGGGGTGCCACCGATAATTATACATCTCATCCAACAGCTGTACGACAATGCTGCATGCCAAGTAATCCATAACGGGAAACTTACGGAATCCTTCGAAGTGAGGACAGGAGTAAGACAAGCTGGCTGCCTACCATCGCCAATGATTTTCCTGATTGCAGTAGACTAGATAATGTGACAAACAGCGGGCAATGAGGAAACAGGCTCACTCACACAAAAAACTTGGAGGGTCAGGACTTCGCCGATGATATATGTCTGATTTCTCACAAACTGGAAGATATGCAAGCGAAAAGCAACAAGTTGGCAGAAGAAGCATCAAAGATAGGACTTCAGGTGAACATAGAGAAAACAGAGGTGATGAAGATTCCTGGGAAACACCACCAACAGCAATAACAACAACAACTGACAACAATCAGCATAAATGGGAGGAACCTGAAAGAAACAACCTCTTTTACCTACCTGGGAAGCATCGTTTCAACTACAGGCGGAACTGACGAGGATATCAAAGCAAGAATCGGAAAAGCAAGACAAGCTTTCACTACTCTCAAGTCTGTGTGGAGGTCAACAGCACTCAGCATCAAAAATAAGATCCGGATTTTCAACTCCAATGTGAAGTCAGTCACTGCTACTATACGGATCAGAGACTTGCACTGCGCGTCATAAAGAGCATCTCAAACAAACTACAGACCTTCATTAACAGTTGTCTTCGCTCAATACTCAAGATCAGATGGCCGACCAGAAAAGATCAGCAACAGGGATCTCTGGCAATGAGCGAACCAACCAGGAACCGATTGTGAAACAAATAGGCAGGAAGAAATGGAGATAGATTGGCCATACTCTGAGGAAACCATCAAGTGACATCACTAGACAAGCCATTGCTCGAGTGGAACCCGAAAGGGAAGCGGCGAGTTGGTCGTCAGTGCAAGGGTGACTTGGAGGAGGTCATGTGAAGAGGAGATGAAAACGTGTGGGCAGACTTGGAGCCAGGTGAAGACTCTAGCAGAGAACCGAAGGCAATGGAGACGCACGGTTGAAGCCCTATGTTCCTCTAGGAATTAAAGGAAACAATAATAATAATAATTTCCTTGATTCAGTTTATTTAAAATCTAGTAAAATATAACCTCTAACATTATTTTTCACTCTGACGAGAATTTAAAATATTTTACAACTTTCCTGATTTGTAAGTTTCTACTAAATTTGAGAAAAGACATTATCCTCAATGACAGCTTATCCCGTTCTTAAGTGTAGTGTCCTTGCTTCACAAAATGTACTAATGAACTTTGCATAATTGGCATTCAACAAAATGTTGGCGTGTATTTCGTGAAGGATTGGTTTGTGCTTCAGATGAGGTAGAAAACTGTCACAGGATCTGTTGTCAATTGATGTCAATATTTGAAGATCCTGCACAAGGCGTAAATGTTATG